TGTCATCAATTTTTTTTTATGTAACATTTCTTATTTTCTTCCTTTTCGATTTAGGTATCTCTTTACCTGATAAGTCACAGGCAGAGACTGACAAGGGCAGTTTGATCCCCGAGATAGACGAGGGTAGTTTGATCCCCGAGACAGAGAAGCCAGGTATAAGAATGCATATATTTGGTTTTTGAGTCTAAGTAAGTTGGTTTGGTTCTTGCTTATCATTAAATCTGTATTTGCATCAGTTCCTCCACCTGAAAAAAAACCAGAGAAGCGAATTGAGCGCAAAAAACCGACAAAGCTTCATGTTGATTTAGCTGATAAAGAAACATGTTCAGATAAGCAAAGGTGCGATTTTATAATAGCATGCTGATTTTTGTGTAGATATAGACGGAATGAGTGTATGATAGCTATTGTAAGGAAGACTATTTAATTGAGATTAAGCATGTAGTTTAAAAGATTTGGAAAAACATGTATCATCAAAATTGCGTCTCTCGTTTTTCTTGCTTATATTTCTATTCGTTTTTCATTGGTTGAAGAGTTGCAAGAACTGTAATCTTTGGTGGTCTTGTTAATGCTGAGATGGCAGAGGCAGTCCATAGTCGTGTCAAAGAGATTGGCACTGTGTGCTCTGTCAGATATCCCCTCCCCAAAGAAGAGCTTGAACAAAATGGTAAGAATCTTGTAAAGAAAATGGAGTTACATGCCTGTAGGCATGACTCCAACCAAGTTTTTTTATAGTAATATCTATTAGTACAAGGTTTTTATTTCGTAAATGATGTTAACATACGAGTTAGGTGTAAAGTTATCCTTCGGAGCTACTTGATCTAGGTATCGGTGGAGCAGAGAACGACAATGTTATTCCAGGCACAGCACAAAATGACTCAATAAACACTATTGGGACATGAATCTCCATTCATTATTAGATTATATTAGCCATAACAAGATTCCTGGGCAGAGAGGGTATGTAGAAAATGACCACCTTTTTCTCTAGTCCCGGTTTATGGGGTTGACTTTTGGGAATATTGCTGTTGGAATGCATCTCCTGCTCATGGTTTTTATTTGGTGCTTGTTGCCTCCCGTTTCAATATCTTGTGTCTGAATTTGTTACCTCG